TACTTCGGAAGTAACATTTCTCATTTTGCATGCTGGAAATAAGTACTGCAATATTATTTCCATTGCAACCTGTGTAAGATTTTAAAATTCTATTTCAAATTAGAATTTCGGATATGTATGATTTGATGACATTTCTCAAATTGAAAATGAAGGAGAATAATCTTTTCCCCAATTTTCCACATCTAGTCTGTCCATAAGAATAGGGACTATCGAATTCAAATGGCGTCTCTTTTTAAGAGTAGGGCAATTTTTTCTTTTTCTTTCTTCCCTCAAATACATGTTATTCTCTGTGGCTTCAATTATTCTTGATCAGTTCTATTCACAATATTGTTGCCGCCTTCACTTATTCCTGCCTATTCTTTTCCTGTCTCCAGTCATTCATGTTTTCTTAAAGCGGCTTAGGAATTTGCTCTTTGGCACTGAAGTGAATAAATCACCCTTAATCTGGCATATGAATGGATATCTGAACACATTCTATGAGTGCTCTCAACAACTATTTTTGCTTCACTGGTTTCTAAAAAATTTTAGTTCTTTTAAGCATTCTAAAGTGGTTTGTATAAAATATTTAAAAAGGTAACCATCAAATTATATGCTTCCCTTGAAATAAGAATAAGAGATCAAAATTTCTGTGAAAGAATGATTTAAGTTCCAAACTGTCCTGCCTCTTCAAAAAAAGACATCAACAAAATTAGCATGTATTAGCAGAAGAAAAGATTATTCCAATTTTTTTTTTGGTGGTAAAGTTCTGACCCTAAAGCCTTGCAGTGCTAAATAGCTTACTCCTGTTGTTTTTATCCACAGATCTCAAGTAGAAGGAAGTGCAAGTGAGGGGAAGGGGATATTTGCAGTCTCTGCCAGGCCAGGATGGAGGGAAGTGAGAAGATTTAAGTGGCTTGTTCATTATTAGGTATAAGGTTGGAAGATGAAAGAGCATCGTTGGCCTGACTCATTCTGGGCTTACCTTATAAAAGGGACAACTCAGTCCCCTGGGACCGATGGGACTCACCCATCTCCTGGGAGGGTAGACATGACCTCTGTGGGGTTCATGAATGAGATTGTAAAGCTAGGGGTTGATTCCATAATAACTTGATTTATCATTTAATGAGCAGGAAGTCTACCTTCCTCAGAGGGATTATCAATAGAGCTCTTTACTTTGTTATCCTACTGTTTGGTAAAGTTTTGGAGACAACGCAGAATTTCTGCATAAATATAATGACTTGTATTTTCAGGAACACCTTTAAGTACGTATGTGTATGCTTTCCTTAAAGGACTGGGTAGTGATGCTGTGGTGGAAACCGGCTGTTTCTTGTAAAGGTCAGTAATGAAAGAGGGTCATGCAGAGAAGACTCCTGTGTATGTAAAAGGCTTGGAACATGTTCTTCACCATTATCAAAGCCAATGTGCAGGTTTTTTCAATGGAACAGGCATAATCCGATGCTCTGACACCTTCTCAGGGCTGCTGGCAGCATCTGCAAAATTCTCTGTGGCCCCAAGGAAGGTTTTGGCAGCTCTTTGTCCAGCTGTCTACCATTCTCTGCTGAGATGGGCTGTGGCTGGTCACTGCTGGGTAAAATCTTTTCCAGAAAAAGCTCTGATCTTCAGAGAAAACTGTCAATGGTTATAAAATGGTCCTGATGAAGTTGTTAGAACTCTTGAAGCCCACAGCACAGAAGTTTCCCCACATAGGCTTGGATTTATGACAGCCTGGACCCCCTCAGAGGCACGGTGACACAGCTTTAGGTAACAATGGACTCCAGTGCCCTAAGTAAAACTGCTCCCCTGTGGTGTTAGTTACAATGGCTGCGAAGAAATACTGGCACTCATTGGAGGTACAAAGTCTCAAAAACCTTAGGTCTCCTCCAATTCCAGCCTCCCCAGACCTGCATTAAACTCTCAGGTTTGTGCCCAGAGCTATGGGCCTGACCCAGCAATCTGACCTCTTCCTCAGCCCTCAGGACCAACGCTAAGGCGTAGGAGAGCACCTCCCCTCCCTGTCACAAGGCTTAGGCATCTGCAGAGACTATGACTGGAGGGAGGAGAATGGCCTGGCTGGGCCCAGTGATGATACGCATGTTAATACAGGCGATGCCAGGCAGTAAAGAGAAGTCCTCAGAAGACGATGATTTTGCCCCAACACTGCAATGCATGGCTGTGGGAACTTGAAGGGAAAAGGACAACCATCTTTCTAACGAAGGCCAGTTTACGGAAATTGATTTTGGATGACTGTGCACCAACTTTGCACAATGGAGCAAAATCCAAATTGCTTCTGAGAGGCAGGCACTTGCTCTTGGTAAAATTGATGTTTTTGTCATATTCAGAACTTTTATTTTAATCCAACTCAGTGTATTCCTATCAGAAAAAGGACAGGGCCACTACTTTGTCTTTTTCAGAAAAAAAGGAAAAAAAGAGAAAGGTCTGTTATAGGTAGGGCAGCCTGGGAAGAGCCAGTGCTGACATGGTTTTTTGGATACGTGGAGGACATGCCGACGTGGGTGAGAGGAAACCCTGGCCTTAAGTACGATGTTCCACAACTGGCTGATGGTAATGCTAGGGACTTCCATAATGTTTACCTGAAGGCTTCAGGAAAACAAAATTTTAACTTCTTGTTTATCACAAATTGTTCTCTTGTATCTGGATTAGAACACGTGCAATTCTTTGTCACCCAGAACTCCAGACTCCTGAGGATTTTAAAGCAAACGACTCTTGGAAGTACTGAGTCCTGATTACCAAACGTCCCTGAGCTGAAAGTACTTTCCTAAGTCCACGTTTTCTCCTTCTCAGTTGATGTTACTGTCAGAGAAGCAGCACGGTCTGGAAGGTGAGTGATCTGTGGGTAGGCAATGATCTGCATTCTGGCTCTGTCACTGCTTAGCTATGTCCCCTGGGGCAAGTCACTTCACTTCTCCGACCCCAGGCTTGATTTTTGTAAAATGCGAATAATGGTAACAGCTACCTCAACTGATTCAACAGTAGTACTTGATATTTATTAACCATGTGCAATACAAGCACGCTCTAAGTTTTATATATGATCATCTCATGTAGTCCTCACAGTATCTCATTGAGTTGGGTTCTATTTCATTTTACGCAGATAAGGAAACTGATGCTTAGTGACACGCTCATGTTCAAGCCAGAATTCCAACACAGGCACTCTGCCTTCGGGGGCATGCTGTCAACCACCACCTACAGCGGGAATTAACTGGTATAACAAATAGACCATGCTTAGCACAGTGGCTGATGTAAAGTTTCAATGAAATTTCGATATGATCAATGTTAAAATGGTATTAATGAGAATAATATTAGTTTAAAGAATATTATGACTGGTTATATGTTTAAAGAGAACTATGCCTTTTTATTATAAGCAGTTAGTAAATTCTCTGAGGAAAGAAACTGAGATTCACTTATTTTTTGTATCCTCAGATACCACAACAGTACACCTGGCAAAGGTGCCCTGGGAATATCTGTTAAGTGAAGAATGAATATCGACTCCACTTGAAATCATCAGTATTACAGAGAAAACCTGACTGAAGCCACTTTCTACTGGTTTAAGCAAAAACATTATCTAGAAAAGATACTGATATTCCCTTTCACCCTTCATATTTCTTATTATTGGCAAGGCCTCATAAGCCTGTGATCTTAAGGCAATATATAATACAAAGAAATTGTGTTGTATTTTTGTCTTTAGTGGATAGTATTTATCAAGAAATATTCTCCTTCCCAAATTATGCTGCAGATACATCAAGAAACTTCAGGGCTTTCTCACCTTAACCAAGTCAAAACCAGATGCTGCAAAGCCTTAAGAGAGCTGTCAGGGATTGGCTTGGGGAGAAATCAAAGGTTATGAAATTAATTTCTAATTATATGTATTTTCAAATTTCCAACACAATATCAATAAATATAATTAAATTTTATTAATTGATATTTTTAAATTTTTTATTTATTTATTACTACAGAAAGGGAGGGAAAAAGAAAGGGAGATGTGTGTGTGCCTCTCATTTGCCCCCAACTCGGGACCTGGCCCACAACACAGGCATGTGCCCTGACTGGGAATCGAATCGGTGACCCTTTAGTTCACAGGATGACACTCAATCCACTGAGCCACAGCAGCCAGGGCTTATTAACTGGTATCTAAATTAATTTAAAATTATAACCCAATGTCAATAATAAAAAAATAAAATATTGTCCTAATAATATTTCAGTTTATGGTACTTATTTTTAGGAGAGTACAGTCTTATATATCATTCATAAAATTACTTAATGTTGGAAGTTTACTAAAATTCTTATTTTAAAAATTAGAAACCCAGGTGCAAAAAGCTTCATGTCTTATTAAAATATCAAACAACAGATAAATGGCAGAACCATTTCAGGGGCATATCCAGACACCTGAATAGAAATGTAGCCTTGGAATGATGCCATTTGAATAAGACAGGAAAACAGACAAGCTTCAGCACAGTTCAAATATTCAGAACTAAGTGGCATTATGTGATCACATACATCTGAATGCCTTTATATTTTTAACCATTTTTTTCTCAAGGACAAAGTTTCTTGCAATTGTTCCTATGTTTAAAGTAGAAACCAAAGAAAAGGAGACAGAGCTAGAAGGAACAAGATAGAATTTAATTATTATCATGCTACTTAATAATTTTAAGTACATCAAAAATATTTCTAGAGAATCACTATAATTATGTTTACAAAACATAGATCTTTGGAAAAGAATGTATTGGTGAATGAGTGCTGCTAAATCCTGAATACACTCCAGTCCTGATGTCACATGTAACCATCAAGCCTCCAACTGGAGGTAAGTCATTACTATAAACTGGAGTGAGTGGGTGCAAACATGAGCTCATTCAACCTTCTCTGTGGCTGTTTTCAAAGATGAAGTAATAAGCACCTCAGCTCCACAAGTATCTACTTGTTATACCCTGAAGGACTATCTCTCTGGAACTCTCGGTGTTGGTGACAGAGGCAGCCCTCAGAAAGACGACATTGTGAGCGGTGATTACCTGGGCATATAAAGGACTCTCTCAGCCACCACGAAGCCCACCCTGAAGAAGAGGTTGCTGGCTGGAACGAACGGGAAAACCAGGAACAACAAGCCCACTAGAACTTCCTTGTGCTCCAGTCTCTGAAACACACAACAGGGGAGGACAAATTCATTTGGGGTTAATCCCCCTTCACTCAGCAGTGTTTAACTAGCTCTTTGTTCAGTTCTCAGTGAAGGAATGAATAAATGTGACCAATGAGAACCTTTTGATCTGTGTGCTGAATTCATCAGAGAAAGCCCTAAGGCTAGTAACTTTGCATGTCAAAATATTCACACGCACCCAGACACACAGTTGCCACCCAGAAACACCTGCTATTTGCATAATATGATCAGGGGCCAAGACTCCTGATTCTGGGCTGGCTCTACAGCAACACTGTTTCTTGGTTCTGCCCCCCAGGCAACTCATTCCAGGGAACATAACAACGGGTACACCCAAGCTCACGAAGGCATCATGAAGAATTATTGTCCTCTCAGAAATAGAATGCATAAAAAAAAACACACACACAAAACCCACATAGAAAGCAGGAGAAACAGAGATTACCATAAAGGAAATTAAATGCAAATGGTAAAATTTGGTACCAATGAGGAAGATCATTTGAGCTGAAGAGTTCTTAAGAGCTCTCAAATTAAGCCAGTAAGCAAGTATTTTATTCCATGAAATTTTTTGGAATTAAAATTCATTACAACAAGAACTCATTAACTGACAAAGCACCTTTCTGTAATATTATACATATTAATTTGTAAAGATTTTTCTGTCACTTACAATTCACAGGAAAAAATTCTGTCTGTTACTAATAAGATGTTGTAACGGACACAGTAAAAAGTAGCTCGCACTTCATGAGCGTCCATGGCATGGACACATTTGAAGAGAGGCCTATTTAACACCAATCTTAATGTACTAGGGGGTTATTTCTTTTCCTTTTAAAAAAGTTTAAGAAAACCAAATAGAGCTTTCCATATTACAGTTTTAAATGTTTCTTATGAACATTTAAAATAGTCTATTACTTTGAATAATTGTAGAAGACTAAATAAAAAATTCAATATATAAATATTAGAGACTCCCTAATATAAACTACTAATACTTTAAGTATACAAACTGAAAATTTTTAAACATCTTGGGATATTTGTCATCTGGATTTTATTAAAATACTTGTTTTTTTTTACTACAACATATAGAGTAATAAAATTTCTGACAGTAAGTCCATATGAACAAATGTGATTTGAACAATTTCCCTTAATAGTTAACAACCTATAAATGATGATCTCATTTTTTAACCTAAAGGAACCACACTCTTTAGAATTAAAAGAAGGGGCAAAAAAAAAACTTCCATAACAAGCCTTCCACTCAAATAGGTGCAATAATGTTGTGTTTTCTATTACTCACTAAAACTGATTTTAAAAAATGGGTGAGAAAAAGTAGCAAGTTCATTATATTTAAAAGTGCATGCTATCTTTGCAATTTACATTACACTTTGAGTTTACAAAGTACATTTCAATTCAAGAACTTGAAGTTTACATAATTTAAAAAATAAACACCATCATAAAAATCCTGTGACATCAAGAGTAAGTATGTCTTGCTAAAATTAAAAATAAATCCCAGATAAAGAAGTACAAATTGGTAGTTAGAAAATAATCGCAGGGATGTAAAGTACAGCATAAGGCATATAGTCAGTAACATTGAGATAACTATGCACAGTGCCAGCTACGTACTGGAAATATGGAGGGGAACACTTTGTAAAGCAGATGATTATCTAACCACTATGCTATACACCTGAAACTAATCAAAATAACACTGAATGTAAATTCTAATTGAAAAATAAGAATTCTATATTAAAAATAAATAAAACAAATCCTAGAGAATGTTTTGTTGAGTATTCTTCCTGAAGTCCATGCCTATAATTAAGTAAAAGGTTAATACACTCTTTTTACAGGTGTACTTTTCAAAAGTATATTTTATTGATTATGCTATTATAGTTGTACCATTTTTTCCTCCCCTTAATCACCCTCTGCCCTGTACCCTTCTTCCCTCCAGCATTCCCGCGCTTAGCTCACATCCATGAGTTATACATGTAAGTTCTTTGGATTCTCCATTTCCTATACTATTCTTAACTTCCCCCTGTCTATTTTGTATCTACCAATTATGATTATTCCCTGTACCTTTCCCCCCATTCTCCCCTCTCCTCATGTCCACTGATACCCTTCATGTGATCTCCATTTCTGTGATTCTGTTTTTGTTCTAGTTGTTTGCTTAGTTGGTTTTTGTTTTTGTTTCTTTCATTTTTAGGTTTAGATGTTGATAGTTGTCTTCATTGTCATTTTACTGTTCATAGTTTTGATCTTCTTTTTCCTAGATAAGTACGTTTAACATTTCATATAATAAGGGCTTAATGATGGTGAACTCCTTTAACTTGACCTTACCAGGGAAGCTCTTTATCTGCCCTTCCATTCTAAATGACAGCTTTGCTGTATAGAGTAATCTTGGGTGTAGGTCCTTGTCTTTCATGACTTTGAATACTTCTTTCCAGCTCCTTCTTGCCTGTAATGTTTCTTTGGAGAAATCAGCTGATAGTCTTATGGGAACTCCTTTCTACATAACTGTCTCCTTTTCTCTTGCTGCTTTTAAGATTCTCTCTTTATCTTTAATCTTGGGTAGTGTAATTATGATGTGCCTTGCTGTGTGCTTCCTTGGGTCTGACTTCTTTGGGACTCTCCAAGTGTCCTGAACTTGCATGTCTAGTTCCTTCCCCAGATTGGGGAAGTTTTCCTTCATTTTTCGTTCAAGTTAAGTTTTTAATTCCTTGCTGTTGTTCTTCTCCTTCTGGAACCCCTATGATTCGGATGTTGGAATGTTTAAGTTGTCCCAGAGGTTCCTAAGTGTCTCCTCACTTTTTTAATTCTTGTTTCTTCATTCTGTTCTGGATGAATGTTTATTTCTTCCTTTTGTTCCAAATCATTGATTTGAGTCCTGGTTTCTTGTATATTTTCCTTTATTTCACTTTGTATAGCCTTCATTTCTTCCTTTATTTTGTGGCTGTATTCAACCAATTCTTGAGCATCCTGATTATATATTTTTGGTTCCCTGTATATTTTCCTTCATTTCACTTTGTATAGCCTTCACTTCTTCCTTTACTTTGCAGCTGTATTCAACCAATTCTTGAGCATCCTGATTACCAGTGTTTTGAACTCTATATCTGATAGATTAGCTATCTCCTTATCACTTAATTCTTTTTCTGGAGTTTTGTTCTCTTCTTTCATTTGTGTCATATTCCTTTGTCTAGGTGTACCAGTTGGGATGAATGCTTCTTCAACTCCTTGGTTATCATACTTCCATACAGTTCAATTTTCTGGCATTTCTGGTTGTTTTTTGTTTCTAAATTGGTTGTTTCCTTATTTTGGTTGTGTGAGGATGTGAAGTGTATCTACTTACGCCTCCATCTCAGCCAGAAGCTGATATTTGTCTCTATAAATGCACTTTTTTAAAAGATAGCTGAACACTTCTTAAAAGCTGAAATACTTTTTACAAAAGTATTCACCTATCTTCCTATATACATTTCTAAAGATAATTTAATACTTCCTATTTGTTAATCCTATAGAATTAAGAAGACTAAGGATATAAGTATAACTCCCACTGGGCTATTATCCAAGTCTCTAGCCAGTATTTTATCCAAAGAAGTGCCTCCCTGACCCTCATCAAGGTTATTAGAGAACAGCCTTCACTGGGGATACAAAAGACACTTCACCTTCACACCCTGAACATCATACCTCCTTGCCTGACCAAAGGCCACCTTCCTCACTCTGATGAGCATATGCTTATGTCCTTTACTCAACAAAATACTGAGTGCTTCCACAGCTACTATGTTGGGGAGAAGTGGGCATCAGGTATATGCTGAAGTCCAACTGCATGCTGCCTTCCTCCTCATCCACGGAGCTCCTATAGTGGGCAGGATCCCCAAATGGTCACTGCTGCTGGGGACATGAAGATGGGTTCTTCAGACTCCAAGCACAGTCTCTATTTCCTTCATGGCAATCATTCCAGCTGTAATTACATATTTATCTGAGTGTTTACTACTTTAAATATGTCCACTGGATGGTAAGCTTCATAGGGCAGGAAGCCAGTCAATTGTGTTCACTGGTGCATGACTTGTGTTTATCTCAGTGCCTGGCACTTAGTAGGTCCTCATAAGCATCTGTTGAATAAACTAATAAGTGAATAAATATACCAGGCAAGAGAAGAGGAGTGGGTAGAGACGATTTCCTGGTGGAGGTGACAATCTTGGTTTGAAAAATGAATGAATGCCTACAAGGCAAATCTGGTGATGCCTGTGAGGAGGGTTCACAGCTAATCTAATTCCAGGAAGCAGATACAGAATATACCAAGCAGGAAGTAAAACTATACATGTTGGTGGTTGGCAAATCATGAGGATCTTGTCAGCCCTGTGTGCAGCTGACCTTTAGAGCCATTAGGGAGTTACAAAAGGGTCTGATGTGTAGAAAGAAAGAAGAGCAAGTCTGTGCCCAGGAGATGACATTGGGATTCAAGTTGTGGTCCTGCCATCAACACACCATTAGTTGCCTTGAGTGGGGACCTCATTACCTCTCCCATGCCCCAACTATAAAATGAGACTAGTGAAGCTCAGGGCTCAGTGGGGTTAGATTGTCACAAAGATTTCTTCATCAGTGAAAGTCCACATTACTGGACTTGTGAGTTGTGGGCTCAGAGGCAACCGTTCCATGCTCCCCCATGGGCTGGTCTTACAGTGTATTTTTCTTTGTTTTCAAAATTTTCAATTGAAGGCAGTGGCATTGTGTCCACACTTAATGAAGTTTTGTTATTTTATTTTGAAGAGAATAATATTCATGAAAAAGTTATTTATTCTCAAATTAAATTGATGATTATATTCTTTGTCTTTCCTCCTTTCCATTGGGTCAAGAGGAATAGAAAATATTCAAAAATATATTTCTTTAAGCTGTGAGCCAATTAGCCAAGCATAAAGTTAGGAAAAAATATGTCATGGATGTGGCTGAATTTCCTAGAATGAGAAAGGCTGGGAGAGAATCCAAGTTAGTATCCTGTGGCTCAC